ATAGATGCTATATGTAAGATGGTGAAATGATACAGACATCATTACCCTAGGTACATATATGATTGCACAAATGGTGCAATTCTGCATCATGTACAACCAGAGAAATAAAAAGTTGTGCTCCGTATATGTATATTGGAACAAAATGCATTCTGCTGTCATGTATAACTGAATAGAAAAAAAGAATATAGACACTAATAAATGCTGAAGAGGATGTGAAAAAAAAGAACACTTTTACACTGTTGGGTTATAAATTAGGACAGTCACTTTGGAAATAAGTATGTAGATTCCTGAAAAGACTATATATGGAACCACTCTATGACCCAGCTGTAGCATTCCTCACTCAGTATTTAACCTAAAGAATTAAAGTCATTATAGTACAGTGATACATACATGCTCATTTTTACAGCAGCACAATTCACAATTGACAAACTATGGAATTAGCTGTGTATCCATCAGTGGATGAATGGATAAAGAACTTATGGTATACAATATAAACAATGGAGTTTTATTCAGCCATAGAGAAAAATGAAATTATTTTATTTTTAGGAAAGTGAATGGAATTTAACAACACCATGCTAAGTTAAATAAGCCAAACTCAAAAGGTCAAGAATCAAGTGTTTTCTCTCATCTGTGGAAACTACAGAGGAAAAAGGAAAGGAAAGTATGTAGGGGAATCTCATGAAAATCAAAGGGAGGGACCACTGGGTGAGAGAAGGGGAGAGAGAGAGGGAAAGTGCTGGCAAATGATATTGGCCAAATTATATTGTGTACATATATGAATATACAATGACAAGTTCTATGATTATGTACAACTATAATGCACCCACAGTAGAAAAAGTGAAAAAAATAAAGTGTTCAAAATCTTTAAAAAGAAAAAAAAAAAACTCCACACACACAAAACAGAGAATTTTGAGGACAAAAAGAATGGGATCTAGATCACCTTAACCTGGTAACCTAATATTGAATACCCAAGATTTTCTCCTCTACCTACTTTTCTTCCTCCTCTTTTTCTTCTTCTTCTCCTCCTCCTCTTTCTCTACCTCCTCCTCCTCCTTCTTCTCTCTTCCCTTTACCACTTCTTCTCTCTCTCCCCACCCTCAACACACACACACATACCATGCAAACTAGGAAGACCACAAACAGAAGGAAAAAGTACAATGAGGATGAGAAAAGACAATCAACTGATATAACTTTAAGATTAGTTAAATATTGTGGTTATCTAGTAAATATTTTAAAAGTGAGGGTATAATTGAATTATCAAGTATATATATATTCCTGAAATAAATGGAAAAAGTAGAAAATCTCAGTTGGTAGCAGGCATTATTTAAAAAAAGAACCAAATGTAAATTACAGAACTGAAAAATTCAACAGTAGAAATAAAAAAATATTGTTTATGTTCAATGGTAAAGTGATAATGAAAGTAGAAGAACTAAATGAATTTATCATACCACTGTGATTTAGCTGATTAAACAACAGAGAAAATATCTTAAAAATGTATATAGTCTCAGGAGCCTTTTTGTTACACAGAAGAGTAAGGATTTCAGTTTACTAACTACTTCATTAAAAATTATGTAATGAAATTCAATGAATAAAATAGAAAACAATTAGGCATAACTATCATACAAAACCAGCCTCATTTCTGACATTGCACAAATTAAATAGGAACAGAGAAATCCAATAACAATTTAGCATAAAATGGTTTCTGCTTTTTACCTTATTATTTCTAATTTCATCCATATTGACATGGTAATATGCAAAGAAATACCTTAATTTTTTTTAGATTTGCTAAGACTTGATTATGACAATTAATAATTCAGCACAAAATGGATTCTGTTTTTTTATCTTTCTATTGATTTCTAATTTCATTCCTTATGATCTGGATAAGATGCAAGGAATTATCTTGATTTTTTTGTACTTGCTAAGACTTACTTTGTGACCTAAAATATAGTGTGTTTTGCAAAAGTTTCCCTATACAGCTTTCTAGAAAGTGAATTCAGCTGTTGATGAATGAAATATTTTATAGATGTCTATTAGGTCCATTTAATTAATAGTATCTTTAGGTCTTATGAGTTATGTCTCAATGACATAAATGAGACAAGTATGTTGTAATTATTTTACTGTATTCTAAGACTTTAGGTCAAGTAGTGTTCATTTTATGTAAGTAAGTGCATCAGCATTTGAGGAATAAACCTTTATAATCATTATATCTTCTTGTTGAAGAGTTCCCATTACCAGTATGAAGTGATCTTCCTTATTTCGTCTGATTAAAACACTTGGTTGAGTCATGTTTTTAAATCTACTTAGCCAGTCTTTTAATTGCAGAACTGAGATTATTTACATTTAATAATATTATAGACAGATACTTATTTACTGCCATTTTGATTTATTTCTAATGACTTATTAAGACTTGACTTTCCTTTCTTTAGCTATTCTTCTAGTGAGATTCATTCACTTGCTGGTTCTAAAATTTATTTTGAATTTTCCCTGCGTGAAATATTTAAGATTTCTGTAGAGCCATTGACATTTGCAAATCTTCTAGAATGGATTATTCTTACATTGTTATCTAGAGGACTCTTTAGTAAGCTGCTTTCACTTTACTATGTGTTCCAAACCAAGGGAATACCTTTGTGTCAAAGGGTTCAGTCAACACGTTCTTGGTGTTTTGATGAATGTCTTAGATTTCTTTAAATGTCTTAGATTTCTTTAAAGGTTTAAAGGTGATCGTATGTAACTGCAAATACTAAACAATGGTTGAATTGCACTATCTGGATAAAATATAATAGAGGAAAATATACAATAAATACTATTGATTTTACAGTTTTTATCAGAACATCAGAAGATAAAATGGAAAGAGATCATAGCACAGGAAACTGATTGGTGAAATAAAAGATTCTTCCATAAAACATGTTCAAAAGCCCATGAACAAAATGAAAAAGGACTCAAAAACAGACATCATCAAACACAAGGGAATTACTTTAAAGGAATCAGTAGCATTCACTTATCTCTGTTTTCTGAAGTACTGTATCACTGTTTACAATTCATCTGAGGAAAACAGGACAGAAAACAAAGATGAAAAATGAACTCATAAAGTTCGTGATTATTAAGTAAAAATAAATAAATAAGTAAAAATGTTGATCTGAATATGGAATATTGAGTAGTATTAGATAAAGAGAAGCTTGATTTGATCAGTGCACACAATATGTATGTATTGAAATATCACAATGAATCCCATTAATATGTATAATATGTTCATAAAATTTATAAATTCCATAACGAAGTGTAATAGACCCACAGAATGAGCATCTGCCATTATTTTGTATTCATATATTTGGCCATCCTCTCATTCTCTCTCAACACTTATTATGTATCCTTTTGATTGATTTGTAACCATCCTTATCCCAGGGATAAATCTCCTTTGTTTACAGTGAATGATCATAATTCTTTTAATTGTACCAATTTATTTTCAAGTACATGCAAATCTTTAGTTATATAGAACCCAGCTTTCAATACTATACTAATAAAAGTATATACATAATAGCATATGTTCAAATTTCCTATGCTTACTATGTGTAAATTAGAGCTGACATATTCCTATTATGAATAATGTCACAGTTTCTTCTCCCATCTACTAACCACAAACAATTATTTAAGAAACACTTGTCAGACCCCTATCTCTCACCATCAAAACTCTGCTCAAATATGATTAAAAACTTAAACCATGAAAGTATGATATTACTAGAAGAAAACATCAGAGAAACATTTCATGAGATTAGAATAGGTCAGGATTTTTTTTTAGATATAACCCCAAAATCATAGATCACAAAAGTATCAAAAGACAAATGGAGTTACATCAATCTAAAATCTTTGGCCCAAGAAAGGAAACAATCAATACAATGAGGACATAATCCACAGAATGGGAGAAAATATTTCCAAATCATATATATAATAAATGGTTAATATCAAGATAAAGAACTCAAAAACTCAAGAGCAAAACCCCAAATAATCCAATTCAGCAATGGTTAATAGACCTAAATGGGCATTTATCAAAAAGAAGTTATACAAATGGCCCACAGGTAAATGAAAAAAAATGCTCAACATCACTTATCATGGAGGAAATGCTAATCAAAACTACAATGAGATGTCACCTCACTCCTGATAGAATGGCTGTTATCAAAAAGCCAAACAATAACAAGGGCTGACAAGAATGTACATACTGTTGGTGGAATGTAAGTTAGTACAGCCATTATGGAAAATAGTATGGAGATTCCTCAAAACATAAAAATAGACTACTATATAATCCAAAAATCTTACTCCTGGTTATATATTCAAAGGCAATGAATTCATTTTGTACAAGAGATATCTGCACTCCCATGTTTGTTGAAGCACTATTTTGAATTGCCAGGAAATAAATCAAAATGTACATCAACCTATAAATAAAGAAAATGTGGCATACATATAACACATACACAATGGAATACTAATTAGCCATAAAAGAGTAAAATCTTGTCATTTGCAGCAACATGGATAAACATTATATTGTCTGAAAAAACATTTTATTGAGTAAAATAACCTAGGCATAGAAAGACAAATATCACATGAACTCACTCATTTGCAGAATTGAAAATAAGTACATCTCATAGAGGTTGAGAGTAGAATGGTAGTTACTACAGGCTTGAAAAAGTAGGAGAGGAGGGAATTTTGGGGAATGTTGATCAACAGGTACATATTAGAAGCAATAATTTCTGGGGTCCTATTGCATAGTAGGGTGACTATAGATAATAACATAGTGTATATTTCATAAAGCTAGAAAGAAGTACTTTACAAGTTTTCCTATAAAGAAATAATAAATCTTTGGGGAAGATACATATGTTTAACCTGATTTACACAGTGTATACATACACCAAAATATTACATGGTACCCCATAAAGATATAACAATTTTATGTTTCACATAAAGATATAACAATTTTATGTTTTATGTTATCTCTGGCTTATACTCACTTATTTAAGCACACATAAACCAAGAGAGCTGCTGGGTGTTGGATCATAGACTTGTAATCCCAGAGACTCAGGAGACTGGCAAGCTCGAGGCCAATCTTAGCAATTTAGCAAGACCCTGTCTCAAAATGAAAATAAAAAGGACAGGATATGGCTTAGTGGCAAAGCACCCCATGGGTTCAATTTCAAGTACACTCACATACACAAATAGAGCTCAAGGGAAATTATCTTAGAATTGTATTTTACAGAGCTCCAAGGATCCTGGCACATGCAGAATGTCCTCAGAAGCTCCGTGTGGCCAGTCACCCTGTTCTGCCAGCCACCCCTGCACACCAGCCCCACCTGCAGCTCACATCCTACAGAAGCCTGAGTATTTGTGTCAGGAGCAGAGGTGTACAGAAGAGATCACTGTGGCACTCAGGGAGATGCCTGGAAAGAAAGTGAGTAAGCATGCACTCAAACCAACACAGGTGCCTGCAGGAAATAAATGGTTACAGATTGGCTTGTAGGAAGGCACTGGTTTAGGTCAACAGAACTGGAAGTTGAGTGTGTCACTCAGCTCAGGAAAACTGAAGATAACTTAACTGATTTCTCTGGAGTCCATAGCAGAGATTACTCTTGTGCTTGCTGAGATGCCTAGAAAGAAGGGGCAGGAAATCGAGCAGCTGAGCCAACATCAGGTCAGCAGAGGTTGAAATTGAGGGCATGTCTCAACTCAGGAGATTTGGAGATAAACTGAATTTCCATGAGAAACTGACTGCTCCAAAAGCTTTCGCATGAAGGGAGCTGTTTAAAAAGGAAGTACCTGAATAAGTCCAATTTCATCAGAGTGACTGCATTGTAGTTGAAAGGAATGTGAAAGAACATTCACTTATTTTTGGACGTCTTTCTAAAGGGAAGATAGAACAATTCAAAAGATGAAATTCTGTCGGAAGTTTCACAGAAATCATTCTTTGGGATGTGAGACTGTGGTAAAACCGCATTTTGTTTATTTGAAAACAAGAATGGAATAGCCTTAAAATTAGAAAAGTTATTATTAATGCATTTCTTTTTGCTTGGAGATTATTCTAGTATTTTTGCTGAAGGTTGCTGCCCAGCCTAGTGTGACAGGAGTTGACAAATGATTACATTGGACAATGGGGAAGAAGTAGTAATGTGGTTTTGCTTTTTCAATGTGGTTTATATATATAATTGGGGTAAGAGAAAAATTTCATTCTGATAATACTGGATGATGTCATAGTAAACACTGATTTCATAACTTACTACAAAATGTACCATAATTTAATTCATTTTTTTCCACTCATATTGTATTGTTTCTGTTCAGATGACCTTTAAGTGTTTAATGTTCCTTTGAGCATTAACTGCAAAGGACAAAAAACTAGAAAGTAACTTTGAAAAAATTGGATTGTATAGTGTCAGTAAAATTCTATCAAATTGAATAGTAAATGATAAAGATCTTGGTGATTTCACATGACCAAGGATAATAATAATAAAAAAGGAACCTGACTTTTTTTCCCCCAGTACTGGGATTGAACTCAGGATCTCTCTATTACTGAACTACATTCCCAGCGGTTATTCATATTGTTCTTTTTATAAGGGTCTTGGTAAATTGCTGAGGTTGACTTCAAATTTGTAATTCTCCTGTCTGAGTTTCCTGGGTTGCTGGGATTACAGGTGTCTGCCATCATGCTTGGGTGGACTTATAATTAATGTAATTAAAACTTAGTAAAACAATATTCATAGAAAGTTTCTAAAAAAATTGTAAGATGCTCTTTTTTCACAGTAGTCAGTGTGCATCCTACAAAAATGAGAACATTTTCAAAATTGGGATATTCTTTAAAAAGAAGAGGAATAGATATTTCATATCCAGAATAAAAATTCCAATTTACATATATAAAGGTATATATATATTTATATATGGATATCTATGAGGCCATGGGGCAAAAAGGACAGTCAATATAGATAATAAATAATTGAATCCAATTGGGAAGGTGAGGGCTAGTTGAAAAGGAAAGGAAATCAAATGCTACCCTTCCCCCCCTCCTCCTTTCAAAGTCCTTCCGCCTCCTGCTCCTCGAACCTGTTGCTAAAATAACCTGCCCCAGGAATTGTTCCTCCCTGCAAAGAGTTGCAGGAACTGTTAACTTATGTCTCCTGGATCACTGCCTGGATCACTTCACCATTTGGCCCTTCCCCTGCCCATTTGCTTCTCCCATTTTTGCCTATCCCATAGTCACTGGTCATATAAGTTGGATAGGGAGATAAGAGAGACAAGATAAGCGGGGAAGAGGGCAGGAGAACAAAGAAAATCTAAAATGTATGAAAGAGGCAGGATACCCTCACTTCTTTAGATACCAACTCTGGGTTCCCTTTTCTGTTGATAAGTCTGTTTCTATTCTTTAAATAAAATTTATTTTCTATGCTTGCCTTGAACTTTCTTGAATACGCAGTCTTCAACATCTGGGGAAAAGGAACTTATTGTCACTGGTAACTGGTGGAATCATATTTGGAGGTCCCATTAATATCATCACCAAGGTAAGCTCCTTCACACGTACCCCACATCTTTCTGAGGTGCATTTTTCTGCCTCTTTCTTTCTGGAGCATTCCCTTCCCTGCTGCATATTAGTTATAGCTGTTAAGGCTCTAGTGTTGAGAGAGGGACATGGAATGGCTCATAGGGAAGTGCCTGGGAACTCTTTGTTCACAGCCTTTACAACCATGTAGAGATTCTCTCCATGATTGTTCCTATGTGCTTTGCTAGCTTCTTTGACTACAAAAAAAGGAGTTTTATGCTCACAGTCTTTTGAAGAGAGTCAATTCTTTATTCTAGCCTTTACCCCTATGTTCTGCTGTTGCCAAACATGGTCTCAATACCAATTCTCTAATAGATTATCATGGCCATCAGAGGGAAATACAAACTTTAATACCATTCTACAGCTCAGCCTATTCTGTAAAAATGAAAGGAAATAGACCAAAGTTCCTATATGCAGGCCTAAGGACTTCTCAGACCTTATTTCAAAAACCCAAATTGAGCCAAAAGTGTAAATTAGACTCAGCTATGATTCCCCTGTTCTAAGTGAGGCCAAGTATCCCCTCCCATTGGAGTCTCAACACAGACAGATCAAGATTCATTTCATTCAGGGTCCCATGTTTGCCCAGGGAATTACAAGTCATATGGTAAGGTTGGATAGTTTGGAAGCTTGCATCTTTTTCATGGCCACCCATGAATTTAACAGCAGTTAAATTCAGAAGTCATAATGGAAGGAGGGGCATAAATTGCTGATGCTAGAGGCTCCAGGATTGGGGATATAACCTCTAGACAAAGAGACAGTTCCTTGATGCAGGCACTCAAGGATCCTGTTCTCTTTTGCTCAGTCCATTTGTTCAGGGAGGGAGCCCATCCTCAAAAGTAATGGGAGATAATATCATATAATTTTCTGCATCCAAACATCGCCTGATTATCAACTGGTGAGAAACCAGCCTCTACCTCAGAGCAAAGCCTGTCCTAGGAAGGGGGCGTGACCCTTGTCCTTGGAAAGACCCACAGAGCACTCCTAGGCACAAACCAACCCTGCTGAGTAGTTTTATCTACAAATAACAGGAGAGATCCCAGGAGCCAGGTGTCCCTGAATCAATCAGGCTAGGTTAGGACCCTAGCAACCACCAATCAGCATGAGACAGGGAAAATACCTGGGATGCCAGATGACCCTCCCAGTAGTTGATGGTGGTTGACTGTGTTGGGAAACTATGTAGTTCAGCACATATTTCCCTCATGGCTTAAGCCAATCAGTTAAAATGAATCCCCCTCTTGTACTAACCAATCACCCCTACCCAACTTGTTCCCGCCAGTGAATGTGCTAATCATATTTTCTGATTTTCTTGCGGTGTGTGATGATTTGCTAAGAGATGCTATGATGTTTGTGAAGTCCCTGCCTTCCCCAAAGAGTGTATAAAACTGCTTCAAACCCTGGGCTCGGGCCTCTCAGCATCACCAGTTGCTGCGTGCACGTGCAGGAGGAGGACTGAGCTAGCTCAAACAAACACCTCTTTGCTGCTTACATCGATCTTTTTCTCTGGTGGTCTTTTGGGGGTCCCGAATTCAAGCATAACACTAGGAAATAAAAGAAAATAGTTTAAAATATAGCCCTCCCTCTAAAAAACCCCAAACCCATCGGTTTCCTTTACTTAGTTTCTGCCAGATATCTGTCTTGTAGGTTCTTTGAAGGGTTTCATCAGTGTTTTTTATCCTGGCTATAGACATGAAACTCAGAATAGTCAGTAGCAAGACATATCTTATTAAAATTGGCAAATGATTTGAATAGACATTTCTCAAATGCTTAACAGATTCCAAGAAATGCAAATAAACATCACAATAAGATATTGATTCCAAGAAATGCAAATAAAAATTACAATAAGATATTATCTTATACCTGCTAGATTGGTTATTTTAAAAAAAGATAACAATTGCTGGTAACATGTGGAGAAAAAAAAATCTTGATCTATTTGTGGTATTATAAGTTAGAACATCCATTTTGGAAAACAGTATGGAGATTGCTTAAGAAATACAGAACTACAATATGATCCAGCAACCCCAGTACTGGGTTACTGGGTATTTATCCAAAGAAACTGAAGTCAGTATGCTGAGGGGTTATCTACACTCCTGTTTTTTTTTTTCCAGTATTATTTACAATAGGCAAGACATGGAAACAATCAGTGTCCAAAGGATGACTGGAGTAAAGAAGAATGTAAACAAAATGAGTACTATTGGGCCTTGACAAAGGACAGGGAATGCTATCATTTGTTTACGTGAATGGGGTGAATCTAGAGGACCATTTATATGGTCATCTACCAAAGTCAAATTCTTTTTAGGAGGAGTGAATTCCAGGAATTGAACCCAGGGGCACTGGACCCCTGAGCCACACCCCCAGCCCTATTTTGTATTTTATTTAGAGACAAGGTCTCACTGGGTTGCTTAGCACCTCACTTTTGCTGAGGATCTTTGAACTCACCATCCTCCTGTCTCAGTCTTCAGAACCACTGGGATTATAGGTATGCACCACTTCGCTGGGCCCAAAGTCAAATTCTGACAGTAGGATGGTGGATACCAGTTACCTAAATCTGGTTGTGGGTGTGGGGGTTGGGTGGGGAAAAGAGTGCAAAGTTGGAAATGAGTTCTGGTGTTCTTTTGTAGAACAAGGTGACTACAGTTAAGGTATATTTCAAATTAACTAAAGGAGTTTCATGTTTTCTTACCTCATGGAAAGAATAAATATTTGAAGTGACAGATATGCTAATTCTGATTTGATAATTCTACAATGTATCCATGTATTAAAACACATTTTACCCCATGAATATATACACTTTATTGATTAAAAGTAAAACTAAAAATACCTTAAAAAAGAAATAATGTCATGATTGAATTAGTCAGGAATTTTATTTATTTACCTATTTGTAATTATTTTTCATTTGGTTTGAAAACATGTATTGTAATTTTGTTATGAGACAGGAGTTTCTTAACTACTTTAGTTCTCAGAGTGAGAATGCAATGTAGGGTGAAGTCCCTTTAGATAAAAAATTACCTCAGCATCTATCTGTCTTCAGTATTAAGTCTTATTTATTGCAAAAATTTGTTTTTCCTTTTTTGGCTAGAGGAAAATATTTTGCCATATGGTTATTTATGGTCTGTAACTATTTATATGTACATATGAAAGTTGATATCGTGGCAATGAACAATTAAAAATAATCATGATTAAAAAAATTTTAGAAATTTTAAAAAATTTTAGAAATTTCCCTTGAAATAGTTAAATTAATGTAAAAGTGGAATGTAGTAAGCTAAGTGTGGGTTATTTGCTCAGTTTACTGGAAATGTGTTATGTAGGAGCTCTATGAGTTACTGCTATCTTTGGCATATTTGACTACAATAGGAAGAGCAGTGGAAAGCCCACCAACCAACTTGAACTAAGTGATATTTATAAAACATAACATCTAACAAGATGCATAATACAAAGAATGCATACTTTTAAAAAAGCACATGAATTATGTGGCACATATCACTCTGTGATATGAACAGATAAATGCTATAGAATTAAAGTGAAGTTTATAATTTTTTTTTAATTAAGCTTTCTTTAGTTACACTAGGAATAAGGTAAAAATGAAAAACAATGATGTGTCTGTAAGTTGCACAAAATATTTTGGAAATAATCAATACATTACTAAATAACACAAAGAACAAAGGAAAAAATATTACAAGAGAAATTAGAAATATTTTTCACTGAATGCCAATGAAAATTTACCAAAAAGCTAAAGTACTTTAAACATATTAATACGTTTAAAGCTAAAGTACTTTAAACATATTAAAAAAATTTATAAAATCAATTACCTAAATATTCACCATAATAACTGGAAAAAGGAAGATCAAGTTATATCATAATTGGAAAAGTAATAAGATGATAGTTATGAATGAAAATGTAACAAAATAATACAAAAATATATAAGGACAATATTTTCTGATTTGAAATGGTTAAAGAATTGGTGAATTGACAGAGAAGAGTTAAAAATTATCAACTTCAAACATAAAGGAAAGCAAGAAATGGGGGCTGCATTGAGGAGATTTTGGGAAATAACAAATGGTTAAACAAATATATAGTTGGATTTGCAGAAGAAGAGTATAAGAAAAGAGAAGAAGTACTTGAAGGAATAATGGCTAAATGTTTTCTAAATAAATTTTAAAAAGGAAACCAGAGAAATAAGAGTTTCAGAAAAATCCAAGCAGTAAAATATAGACACCATCAAAAAAAAAAAATAGCTAGAAACTTAATAATAAAACTTCTAAAAAGAAAAACAAACAAAATTATGAAAACATTGAGAAAATAGAAAATTAAATGTTATACACAGAGGAAAAAATAATTAAAACAGACTTCTAATTGCAACATAACGTAAGCCAGAAGGAAATGTAGTAACATCAATAAAATACTAAAGTAAAAAATAAAACATGTTAACTTGGAATTTTATATCCATTAAAAATGTCTTTTCAGGACTGAGTAAAAAAGAAAGTCTTTGCTATGATTTGAATTCGAATGTCCTATAAAGGCCCATGTATAAAAGGTTTGGTCCACATGTTGACACTACTGGTAAGCAATGAAGCTTTTTAGGAGCTGGAGCCTAGTGGGAGGTCATTGGATCTTTCAAGCCATTCCCCTGAAGAGGATTTGGGACCCTAGTTCCTTCCTCTCTCTCTTTGTTCTCCAACTATGAGATGAATGCTTTCACTCTACCATGCACTCCTGCAATAATGTGCTACCTCACTATAGGCCCCAAACAATAGAGCCAAACATAAACTAGAACTTCCAAAACTGTGAGCCAAAGTAAGTTGATTATGTCAAGAATTCTCTAATAATGACTGAAAGCTGGCTATGTCTGATTTCTTCAGACAAATAAAAGATGAAAGAATTACTGTTGGTAGATAATGCAGTTGAAGAAATGTTAAAGACAATTTTTTTACAAGAAGGAAACTGCCAGCAAAGAAGTGGTAAACATGCAAGTAAATACAACGGAGATTTTATAAAATGTTTTATCCAAAAACACAGCTGAAAGATAGAAGCAACTCAACTGGCCCCAAAAGACAAATACTTCTTTATTCTACTTAAGTACAACCTAGATCAATCAAATTAAAAAAAAAAAAAAAAAAAAGAATGGCAGCTACCAGGGAGAGGTGGGTAACAGAGGGAGATAATGTTAAATGGGTTTAGAAGTTCAGTTTCCAAGATTGAAAGAGTGCTTAGTCTTTGGAATTCACCATTTTGGAGAGCCATCTCTAGTTTCCCTCTCCTTTTCTCAGGAGGCCCAGGTTGCTCTGCTATTCAAGTGCTAAAGATCTACAGGGAGAACAGCAGGCACCCTGAAAGCCAGAAAATGCCCCCCTACTGAGCCCTCAGTCCCCTGGGAAATGGAACAAGAATCTCACACCTCTCACATTTGTATAGACTCACCAAAACCCAAATCTGTGAATTTGCAGCTAGGTCCACGACTTGCCTGGGGCTAGAAAAGGCATGGAAATTAACAAATCTGGAGCTTTTTGTCTGAGGAAACACAGGGTGGAGAGGCTGGAGAGAGCCTGGCTCTCCCCAGCTCTTTGAGTCCTATTGCTGGTGGAGGCTGAAGGGGGCCAGCCATAGTCAGTCAAGTTATTGGAAGCATGCGTGTAAGGGCATTTGGCTCTCAGTCTGTCTAGTCAGTTAGTCTGGCACTCACCAGGTTCCCAAGGGCCACCGAGGCTTGTATTTGCCGAGTCCCAGCACCAGCCAGGTCCCCAGGTCTCTCCACTCCCTGATCCCCAACATGGTCTACCTCTCTGTCTACCAAAGCTGCAGGCCTTTGGCCCAGGCTGCCAGGCCTACCTCACTTAGAGCACAGCTTCATTGCTTCACTGCTGGTTCACAGGACCTATTGCCCAGCTCTGAGACATATGGCCCAGGCCAACCAGGCCCACTGGATGTAGCCAGCTGCTTCACCACCCAGGCCCACTCACCTTGCCATATCACAACCTTGCCCAACAAGGCTTTACGCCACCTGGCCCAGATAGCACTTTGCTGCCCAGCTGTAGCCCAGCTTGCCCCCAAGCCATTTGCTGCCAGGCCTGCCTGGCACAGCCAGCAGCTTTACTACCTAGTCCACTCAGCTTACTGGGCAGGCCACTGAACCACATGGCCTAGCCAGCTGCTTGGTTGCCTGGCTGCAGCCCAGCTTGCCCAAAATGCAAATTCACTTCCAGGCCCATCTGCCCAAACCAGCAATTCTGCTACCTAGCCCACCCTGGCCTGCCACACTAATCTCCCAAAATGCCAACCTTCAACTTGGTGAACAACATAATAAAAAGGAAGGACTTGACATACTCTCACACTCATTTAACATCTCAAGAAGAAACTAAAATAAAATCAGTTGGGCACAGACAACAAATACATATTTTCACTGACTATTTTTCCACCTAGGGGAAACAAAATCAGAGAACAAGAAGTGAAAGATCACTTAATAATAAACAATAATGTACTAATGATGCCTATTGGTATAAATAAAGTCAGCAGCTTGGGTGAGCACTCATTTTGCCCTTGCCTCTGTCTACTTTTGAAGCTATTTCTTCATAGCTGGCACCTGAAACAGGGACTCTTCTAGACATGCTGATGGGGAAAGGGAGTACCTTACTGCCTGGAACAGGCTTTGATGTGCATCTTTCATTGGCTACCAATCCCCATTGGTAAGCCATGGGAAATTCCCAATTTAACATTCAACATCATCATCAGGCTGAGCTATCCTATTCACTTTGCAAGGGTAGACATACTCTAAGTAATTCTCACCTTGATCCCTTGCAGGCAGAGCTAGACTCTTGTTGCCCCTGGTACATAGAAAGTTTTGCTTTATATTCAAAAAATTGTGAAGATATAGGTAAGAAGCTTCATGTGGAGCCATGAGCTCCTGTGCTTGTGCTGCATGCTTGGTTTCTTTGTTGTGATGCTATTTCTAAGTTCTCTATCTCTCAGCAAATGACCCCCTCCCTTAGCAACAGCTGCTGCAGAGTCCTTGATGGAAATGTTCCCCCTGCCTTCACAGCCACCTTCCCCTCCATTGCCGCCTCCCCAGTTAGATCTCTTTTGGCTGAGTGTTTATGCGGAAAAGGAGGGAGATATGCGCATATTTTGGCTTTTTGCCCTACTAAGCTAAATTCTGCTGGTCAACCAGAGCATGAGTAGTTACCTTTTGCTGTATTTAAAGAATTATAAGCTACCCACCCAGGGCAAAAGGAGGGGGAATCCGTTTTTCCAGCCCCCTCAAGATTGGATGGCACAAATATTTCCAGTTCAAACAAAACATTCCTCCAGAAATCCTTTCCCACCACTAGAGGGAGCTCTAACATAAATTTAATTACTACTCAGATGCCCAAATGTAGCTTCCTGGGAGGTATATAAAATTGCTACTTAAATTTAGGGACCTTTACCTAAAAATACTTTGGATTAATTTTGCCTTGTTCTCATATTGCTAAAGAGGGGAAATTTGTGGTTCCCGGGGTAATTGATTCTGATTATATTGGCACACTATATGTCCAAATGTGGTCCCATATTCCTTTAAGCCTACCTAAAGGATCCTCTATTGCTCAATTGATTGTGATTCCCTGTGTTTCAGCTCAACAACATTTAAATAAAAGGGGAGATGCAGGGTTTGGATCTACTGTCATTGGAGCTTGCTTACCAATTGCTGAAAATAGACTAAATTGACTCTTTGTTTAAACAAGTAGCCAATTACAGGATTATTGGACACCTTTGCTGATGTTACCCTTATTCCCCTTTCAGTATGGCCTCATTCGTGGCCCATTCAAAGGCCTACCCTGGTTTGGGGCATAGGAGGTAACAATGAACAGGTGTCCAAGAGCTCCCTGTGGCTGCAATGCTCTGCACCTTCCAATCAACATCAAAATATTACTCATGTTCAGCTACATGTTATGGCAATACCTTTTTCCATATAGGGAGGAGAAATTTTACATAAACCCAGATGTCTGTGGAATTCCCTTTTTTTTTTTTTTTGTAGAGACCTCTGTATATCTGACTGGCTTGCCACTAAAGTAAAAAGTCACCACCCCTGTCTAGGTTGAATAATGACCATTGTCAAAGGAAAAGATGGCAATTGCAGAGGGCCTTATTCCAGAACAGCTACAATTAGAAGATGTTAAACCTTAGACCATTTCTCTTCTAGATGGGTTGACCATGTATACAGATGGAGGTAAGCAGAGAGGGGTAATATCTGTTTTTATTAATGGTAAATGGACTGACTATTATACCCTGCCTCAAATCTTTCCACAGGGATCTGAATTAGCTGGCACTAAGGTTATTTTCTACTATTTTAAACATTATTACAGATTCTTAATATAGCTAACTTGTTGCTTATATTTCTGTAGCTGTGTTATCCCTTCATTTGCATTCCAATTTACTATCTCTTTCTTTAATCCTTCAAACTTTCTTACAGCATTGCGTGTACCCGAATTTTCTTGTTTATGTACACAGCCATACAGAAGTCCTGAACCTCTAATGAAAGGCAAAGCTCATGCAGATGCAAATGTGAGATCCCTTTATCCTTTATTTTCAGATGCTGTAGAGCTCATGGATTTTTTCATCAAAATACTCACTCACTAATAAAAATGTTTT